ATTCCCGCCTCACTCTGGGGCCAGTCAGAGGTGGTATTTGCTGGTTCTCCAAACTGCTCAAAATTTCTGCTACCAATTCTCTAGAACCTGTCAGAACCTGCTGAATTTCACCCCTGCAATAGATCTTAAGTCAGTTTCGACATACATACCAGTGGTGGGTTGCAGGCGGTACACCCCGGTACAGGCGGACCTGACCCTGTCCGGAGCACAAGGTACCATTCCAGTACAGTGCTCTGGATGGTCCACCTGCCCGCCCAAGCTCCTTACCTGTCCTTTAGAGCCTTCTGCGCTTCTGCGCACGTGCTTGATGCGTACAGTGCTTCTGCACATGGCACGTACAGCAGTTCCACACATGGCATGTACAGCACTTCAGTGCATGCGCATGGTGCGTACAGCACCTGCACGATGCTCCGCCGAGTAGCTGGAGTGGCACGGAGGCTTGCAGAAGCGTCACTGGCAGCTACAACACATTCGCACACCCATGTTGGAACGGGATCCAGAACCCACCACTGATACATACCCATAAATATCAATTCCAATCCAACCAGAGGGTTAATTTAATATAGGACAATTACAATTATAAATACCTCTGAACATTCAAAATTGTAGTTAGAGCTGTCTAATGTGAAGAAAAATGAGTTTTTATCATCTACATGGATCAGCTAATAAGAAAAAAGCCTTGTTACATTCCAAGAGAGCATTCTTTAAAAATCATATAATCAAAACAATCATTCTTACAAATGTGCACAAGCCTGAAGTATAAAAAACATAAGAGGAAAAAGAAGCATGTGTGTCAAAGGAAAAGGAAAATCCAAAGGTGCTTTTTCAAGAGATAACTGGACTTTCTGGTGTTTCTTTGAAGACGTTTCACTTCTCATTCAAGAAGCTTCTTCACTCTTCAAACGTCTTCAAAGAAAAACCAGAAAGTCCTGTTGTCTCTTGAAAAAGCACCATTCTGATAATGACGACCTGGATGACTAAGAATCTACATAAACAGTCAAAAAAGAACTGCATCTGTTCACTGAATATGAAAAAACGTTGGATGTGATGAGAAAGCAAAACAAAGCAGGTGGATAAGTATGAGTGCAACAGAGTATCCAGGAAGAGAAAATAACAGTGAATGACCTTGTGGGAGTAGTAGTGTTTTGTAATGTTCAATGGATACATCCTGTTACTGCAGATTGTTGACCTTTTCCTGTTTCCAGATGAATTCCCAGATTTTGAAAAAATGAAGAAATACACCTTGACCGTACTCTGATGTTCCATTTCATAAATGCTTCTAGAAGAACACTAAATATGTCAGTGGCTGGCAAGAAATCTTTAACTAGAGTAGTGATTTGAAACAAATTGCAGATTGTTGTTTAATTGGAGACTTCATCAAAATGGACGGCAATTATCTGAATCGGCCAGTCATTGAGTTGGCCAGCGTACAAGTTTAATAAAATATTATGGATGGTCACACAATGAACTAGACGTTTAAGCTGGATTAGGCATTTTTATCCCCACATCCAGGGTAAAATCAATTTATCTTTGCGACATATTTAATCCCTTTTGGACTGCGTTAGAAAGTTTTCTGCTCTTGCCTGTAATGATGTTTTGTGGATTGAAGTGATTGCAATGTTTCCTGTTTCTTCGCTTGAGGTGAAGGGACTGATCTTTTTTCCTCTATTTCTTCCTCTATTTCTTCTTACTACCTTAACTTTTTTGGCTTAAATTAAAACTTTTTTTACTTTAATAAACTTCTCCTTCTACCTGCTATAATATCATATTAAAAATACTTAAGGAAAAGATTTTTAAAAATAGTTGA